GGCCGAGGCAATGGACTCGAGATCCCAAACTCTCATGGGCAAGGGGCATACCAGCACAAAGAAGGAAAATAAGAATGAAATGCCGCAGAATGAACAGAGTGCACGGTGGTGGTGTACTTGCTTGGCATTTCTTCAAACACCAATGAAAGGCCCGTAAGGGCCTTTCGACTCGATCACCAATCGGTCATTGGTGGCGCAGAGACCTCACGGGCCCAAAGCAGCTTCACGTCCAGGTCCACCTCCTCGCGACCAAGCTCGTCGATGAAGTTGTTGTCGTGGAGGAGGTACTTAGCGCGGTGCATGGTGGCGTCTGGAGGGTCCAGGCGGCCGGTGGTACAAGTGCCCCCGCAGAGCTTAGCGAGGAACATCGCGGTGGGGACGCCGTACTCAAAGCGATGGAGCGCGTCGCTCGGAGGAAGCAGGTGAGCACGACGCCGCTGTCAGGGGGCTGGAAGCCTTGGTAGATGGCGATGTCCTCCACGTCCCCATGGATGTGGAAGTTGGTCTACAACCCAAACTCGGGACCGGGTCGACCGGCGTGAGGTCGTCGGCGCCATCGTCCTTGGCGGGGTACGAGGAGTGCTTCATCGCGTTGATGCGCGCTAGCTACGGCTACTAGAGTGGCCAGGGACGCTGCGGCGCCGCCCTAGGAAGGGCTCCGGTGCACGGTGGTCCTTGCATGGGGAGTAGGGCAGAGCAGAGCACGGAGGAAGGCACCGGAACAGCACAGGTGCGAGGCGAGAATTCCGTGTCGTCGGAGTTGGAGCGGACGCAGCGGAATGAGCCTGGGTACATGACGAGGTTGTTGGGGATCTCGTCCTGGTCGGCCGAGAAGAGGGTGGTGTCGACAGGAACGCGGGTTGGACTCGAGTCGAGCTTGGGGGCGGAGAAGCCACTGCCTTTGGTGTTGTCGTCTGCGCCGAGGCTGACGTCGGTGATGGCATCGATGATGGTGGGGCTGGTCGTTGATGGTGGGGCCCGTGTGGAAGGTCCTAATGGCTAGAGGGGGTGAATAGCCTATTAAAATTTTCTACAACACTTAACAAGCTGGTTAGACAATTATGAGGCGAAGCAAGTGTTGCGCTAGCCTACTAAAAATGTAAGCCACCTACCACAATTCTAGTTTCTATAGTTTCTAACCACACAATGGCTATGTCACTATACTAAGTTAGTGTGCTCTCAAAGGCTAACTAAAGAGCCACACTAACCAAACTAACAAGCTCTCACAACTAGTTACACTAAAGAGCTTGATAACTAGTTTGCGGTAATGTAAAGAGGGTGAGCAAGATGGTTATACCGCCGAATCGAGGAGTCAACCAATCAATCACAAGAATGAATATCAATGAAGACCAATCACCTCGGAATCAAATGATGACACAATGATTTTTTACCGAGGTTCACTTGCTTGCCTGCAAGCTAGTCCTCGTTGTGGTGATTCACTCACTTGGAGGTTCACGCGCTAATTGGCATCACACGCCAATCCCTCAATAGGGTGCCGCACAACCAACACAAGATGAGGATCACACAAGCCATGAGCAATTTACTAGAGTACCTTTTGGCTCTCCGCCGGAGAAAGGTCAATAACCCCTCACAATCACCATGATCGGAGCCGGAGACAATCACCAACCTCCACTCGACTATCCTCGCTGCTCCAAGCCATCTAGGTGGCGGCAACCACCAAGAGTAACAAGCGAATCCCGTAGCGAAACACGAACACCAAGTGCTTCTAGATGCAAACACTCAAGCAATGCACTTGGATTCACTCCCAATCTCATAAAGATGTTGAATCTATGATGGAGATGAGTGGGATGGATTTGGCTAAGCTCACAAGCTTGTTATGGCAATGCAAATGGCCAAGAGAGTGAGCTAGAGCCAGCCATGGGGCTTAAATAGAAGCCCCCACGAAATAGAGCCATTGTACCCCTTCACTGGGCACAACTCGGGGTGACCGGACCCTTCGATCAGATCGACCGGACGCACCCTGCCAGTGTTCGGTCAACGGATGGCTGCCACGTCATCCCTCTCTTCAAATACTGAGCGTCCGATCCCAACGGTCAAGTGATGACCGGACGCGCTGCTCGAAGTGACCGGATGCACCAACACCAGCATCCGGTCGTTTCTAGTAAGGTTCCACTCACGACCGGACGCGTCCGATCACGTTCGACCGGACGCAGGACCCCAACGTCCGGTCACTCAGTAAGCTTCCAGAGGTGGAAATTCACGACCGAACGCGTCTAGTCGGTCACGATCGGACGCAGCACCAATGCCCGGTCCTTTCTCTTCTTCTCTGTGCTGCCACGTCAGCAGGACCGGACGCACCCACTCAGCGTTCGGTCACAAAGTGACCCAGCGTCCGATCGAAGACCGACGCCAGCGTCTTCACTGCTTCCACTGACCGGACGCTCTAGTCCAGTTGAGACCAGCGTCCGGTGCACTCTGTGAAACCCTGTCTTTTCTGTACACGATGACGGTGGTACTATCGGACTGTCCGCACTCTATGGCCGGACACTCCGCCGGTGAAGTTACTTACCCTTGCTCCCAAGTGCTAAACACAATGTGTATCACCTTTGTGCATGTGTGTTAGTATATTTTCACAAACATTATCAAGGGTGTTAGCACTCCACTAGATCCTAAATGCATATGCAATGAGTTAGAGCATCTAGTGGCACTTTGATAACCGTATTTCGATACGAGTTTCACCCCTCTTAATAGTACAGCTATCGAACCTAAATGTGATCACACTCGCTAAGTGTCTTGATCACCGAAACAAAATGGCTCCTACCACTTATACCTTTGCCTTGAGCCTTTTATTTTTCTCCTTTTTTCAAGTCCAAGCACTTGATCATCACCATCATCATGTCATGATCTTCATTTGCTTCACCACTTAGAATGTGCTACCTATCTCATAATCACTTTGATAAGCTAGGTTAGCACTTAGGGTTTCATCAATTCACCAAAACCAAACTAGAGCTTTCACCGTGGCGTGGCCTTGGTCGGCGTGGAGGAGTCGTGCGGTCGAGGAGACAACTTCCTTCGTGGATGCTAACTCCTTGCGAAACTCGTGAAGCTCGGCCAGGATCAACTCGAAATCGAGACCCATAGCGCTCAATTGCAATCGGAATCGGTTTGTGAGGGATTTCGGTGGAATTCCAGGATTGGCTCTGAATACCAGATGTTAGTAGCAAGGTAGCGGGGATAGGTAGGGAAGCATCAGAGATCAAAGATTGGAGAGAAACTAGCTGCAGAGCAGGGGAATTGGGAGGAAGAAGATGAACATGAGAGGAGTAGCTAGAACAGATTAGGATATATCTGACTGTTGATTACAATATTCTTCATGAGTCTGTCTACTACACAACTATGTGTTTTATACAGTTTTAACACATTAATTTTTTTGCACCGTAGGATTAAGATCCAACAGCCTCAACCCTTCTTCTACCTCTAGCCTCCACAGATCACATATTACAATTTTTTTTCAGTGAAAGAACAAATCACAGATCTGCCACCGCCGCCACCACCATGGCCGACGGGGGCACGAGGGCCAGAGTGAGCTCGCCGGTTGCCGACGCTGGCGATCACCGGTGAGAAAAAGAGAGGAAAAAATCCATGTGTTTTTTTTTGCTAAAACACATATGTGTTATATAGCATTTTTGTTTTTCATACCCCTCTCTCCATAGCCAAAGGTAAATATATACCACTCCATACACGGGCCAAGCCCATCCAACCAGTAGAGGCACGCAGACCCATGTCCGAAGCTCATATCTATTACTAATATCCCTAACACAAACGCCCCCTATGCCTACACGAGGCAAGGGCACCTTTCTACAGGATCACCCTGCCAGCACTCCTGCCAGGGCCTAGGTGCTACACGGATGCTACTCCTCCAGACAACACACAACAGTCTCTCAGACATGCTAGTCTCGGAGTTTTCATCAACACCCAGGCCCACACCCAACCGTTTCATCAACACCAAGGTCCACCCAACCCAAACGGTATACATACAGGGAGCAAAGCGCAACACCAGTTCTGTAATCATGGCAGAAGCGGCTGCTCTTGTTTTGGCTGCGATGGCTTCTTCACTCTTGAATCTACAAGGTCCAAATTACACCTCAGACAACCAATAATTGGTAACCTTCTTCAATGGCACAGATTTCTCTTCACCACCAGATTGGAGAATTCACCCATAAATTCATCAACTGGAACAGAGGGCGTCAACAAAACATCTACAAGATTGGGAGAAACCTAACTCAACTGCCCATCTTTTAGCTAGGCAAAGCATATGTAACCATGTTCTCCAACTCTTCAACTCTCTCTGTAACTTGTGCCCCCTCGGGGATGCACTGTCTGTTGTAAACTGGGGGCACCTGCAGCTCCTAACAGTTCGTTGCTGTTAATAAACCTTGCTTGTTGTCCAAAAAAAAAACAGTTGTGATATATAGGTGATTAAGTCAAAAAAAAATCAGCAACGGTTTGTTAGGGGCTACCACATTTTTAGCCGCAGATATAGAACATGGTCTTTTTAGTGGTGCGTAGGTAAAAGTCTCAACAAACATTAATGCTACCTACAAGAATGAAAAGAATCTATTTGATTTGACAGCACAGTACAATGGCCATACAAAATCCCCCAACTGCCACAACATTCTCAATATCCTGATAAACTGAACTAATCCTGATAAGCGAGAAATACATTTACTGCATACCTGACAGTCCCAAAGGATCACAGCTTCACTTTCTGGAAATAAATTGAGAATAAAATTAGCAAGCATAGTTCCAGATCCTGACATTGTTCCCTATGCTCGGATCCAACACCACTGCCAGCGCAGGTACTACTCCGACCCACTACACGCAACACAATGTTCCATGCTCAAAGTAAACTTTCACAAACTTCCACGCAAAACAATATCAGCACATTGCCTAAAAACCAAAGAGAACTATTTCTTCCTGGTTAACCAAACAAAGCTGTACAAATCAAAATTACTATGATTTCACCCTTCGCTAAATACTTACAGCTTACAATGATACAACCCTGACTGCAGACAGAATACAAATAATTTTCTAACAAAGTTCAAAATTGGGGAACCGAATTATACAGTGTGGCAGAAGGGGCATATCATCATTGTCGGTTATCCTGTGTTTGCGACCTTTCATCTTTTCTTGACAATACATTGATCTGCTGCTCAAGCTGTCAAGTGTCATGCAGGGAAACCATGTTATGTTTAGACAAATTCTCCACACATACATTGGTAAATTGAGAATTAAGAATCAAAGCTCAAACGCCTTAATTAGACAACATTCATTTTCAAAATATCAGACAAATTCTCTTGGTTCAGTTTTTGCAGAACTTATGAAAGAAATGCAAGTATTAAAAATATATTGCAGGAAGATCAATACCTGATTGTTTTGGAGCTTTAATCTTTGCACTTCCTCATCAAGTTCAGTGACACTGGAAATTTCCACAAATTTGTCAATTGTCTGAAAATATGCTGAACCATCATCACAATTTTTTCATACCTTCGCTGCAATTGGAGAACATATGAATGCAATTCCTTTTCTCTGGCAGGTCCTCCAGAAGACTGCAGATAGATCAAACACTTATTGTACCATACAAGACAACTTCATGTTTGCATAACAACTGAGACACACCACAGGTATTTGGACTCAAGCACTCAGCTCAGCTCAGCTCTTTCTAAAGTTCAGATGTCAGGTAAACATGAAAACAAAAGAAGACTACAAGCCACACTAAAATGTTACACACCTGATATGAACCGCTTGTGCTTGCTTCAGAATCATCTGTTTGACAATAGCCCCATGCAAAACCATAATATCAGCATTGATCGAAGCTTTTCACTCAAGTTCAAAATAAACTACTGTATTCATGCATACCAGATGTCTCCTCAATTGAAGAAATCAGCCTACTGAGTACTTCCTGCCAAAATAAAGGATTGTTAATATGCCAAAAATTCTTCCTTTCTAAAATTAAATGATAAACATAGTAATACCTTTTGCATAGTATTTTGCTGCATCAAGAATTGCAAAGTTGGAAGAATTGCAGGCAACTTGGGATTTGAACATGCTGCTTCAATTGGTAGATTTATCCTGTTGCTGCTGCTGCAGGCTGATGCAGCTACCTAAAACGGAAAACTAGTTTTAAAACTACTTCCATACTTTTTTCTTCTGGTAAAGGACAATTTAAAGGTGTATGTGCTCTCACAAGGTAGAAAAGAGACTATTGCTTTGAACAACTCATTCAAGATATAAAGAATCTTCCAGAGTTTGGGAAATACAGAAGTGCAATAGCTGGATGTTAAGCGCTAAATTATTTAATTTAATGCATTTATTTTCAGAACTTGAGTGATTACAATTCATATCAGTCAGAATTAATCGAAGACTCCAAGCTACACATGTTCTTGACTGTAAAAGAATGTTATCTTCACTAGAATCCAATAAAGACGAAAAGGGAAATACAATAAAAGTTTACTATGCTGGTCAACTGAGACATTTCAACTAAATAATTCAGTACCTTTTGAGAAATACTATCTGATGTAACCTGGAAGCGCCCCCTTCGACGGATAATTTTCCCTTCTGATGACTCCTCTGGCGCAACTGCTCTCAAAAATGGATCTGCTAAGCCAAATTGAGTCTCGAGCATAAGTAGCAAGTAAAAGCAAGATCATAACCCAGCTTTCAGTTAAATCCAAAATTAACCACCGCAGAACTGGTTAGGTGTCAAATCATGCTTGCTACATTCACACCGCCACACACATATGAGACAGCAAGGGGTTGTGTAAGTATCAATCATACCAGATTGATGTGTGCGTGAATCCTTCATTTGGCGGAACAATAAAGGGCCACTACGGTTCCTGCTGCTTGGATTTTTCTGACGAAATCCATCCCTTTCATGACAAAAGTACAAGTGTTACCAGCCTAGAATAGTCATTTTGAATGGCAGAAATATATACGGAGAACAATATACATAATAGCGAACATTGATGCGAAAAAATGTATGGATAGACCCATGCTTCTTTGTTATGTTCTTAATTTCTAGGTTCTCTAGATATTCCTATAGAGTATAGACTATGCTCTAACAACTTAGTTGCCAAAACAAATATTGAACAGTTTTATTTTGCAATATCAAGTGGAAGTTTAAAAGGGTCTTTGGACTAGGTCAGGGGTTGAGAGTTTTAAGGGATCTGCACAGAAAGACTCAAGCCTAGAGATTATTATTCATTACAAAGAAACTTCAGATATGTAGCCACATCAATTACCTTCAATGCACATGTTCATAGAAAACCTAGCTCACACCAAGCAGTTCAACAGATATGCAAATAACATATGGTGTTTCAAGGACTAGGTTAGGCACATTGACTAGCCTTCCAGTGCTAGCAACACCCTTTTTGTCACTATTTTCATTCTTTATTTTCTTTTGCCACCACCACATAAAAGCATGTACCACCAGCAACCACTGCTCCAAAAGCTACCGAGTACACCTAGATGTAGCCCAGTAGTGCTTTTCAGAACAGTGCTTTTTGCAGTGATATAATACAGAGTTAGAATCCTTTATGGGGAAGTGAATATAATCCACCCAAGGCCAATACACCCACTATTGACTATTCTACATTTTAGATAAAGAATCACTTGGAAAAATACAAGTTGACATGGAATGATGGAAAATACATTAAACAAAGTGAAACTCGCCCTCACACCTAAGGCTGAGCACAGTAGCACTTTCACTCCAAAATCCTATTATTATATACTGTATCATAGACTAGGAAAAACTGATACTGGCCATGGAAAAAAGATAAACTTTAGAAAAAACAAAATACCTTTCCAAATCACTGCTCAAGTAGGGAGAAAGAACTTGCTCAGGTATAAGAGAACCACTTGAATGCCTGTGGTATCCACTAGTGACCAGATTCGTACGTACAGAAACGCTTCTTTCCAAGCTTTCACCATTGCAGTTGGCACTTTTACAATGCTCAATTTTTTGCAACTGCTCGAAAGGTAAAGTTCCGACACTTGGTTGCACTCTTGAATCAGTAGCAGTAGGGTCCAGATCATCAGCACCACAAACATCAAAGCAAGATCTGTATCAATAGTCAGGGAAGATCCATCATAATTCACTACTAACTTTATAATACAGAACTCAAACATGGTAAAGATAGCATAATAGTATAGAGCAAAGGAAAAAAGTGAATGTAAAAGTCAACATTCTGAATTCTGTTCCAGAAGGATTTAACATTGAGATTTACTGCTCAACATCATTAAATCATGTATGATAGCTTCAGACATCAATATATCTGCACCTAGATGCTTCACAATACACCCCAAACAAAATATGCCAAGAAAATTATTCTACAGGGTTGGAAAAGACAATAATGATGACTTGTTTCTTCTAGAAGAAACACACCAACCAATTGCATACACAGACAAGACAAACAGTAACATAGGCAGGATCATCCCTGACTTTTGAAGGAAATTCATAGCATGAAAAAAAATATATTCCCAGTTGGTAAACATGATTTAATCCAATGTTCAGACAATAACAGGTTGTATACACAGACAACACAACGTAATTTATAAAAGCATGCTGAGAGTAAGGGTCAACATGATGATAAAGTTGTAGTGAGAAGAGCTTACTTTAGTGCCTCAAGGGGGCGGCTTGGAAACGAAGAGGAGAGAGCATCATTCAAAGCTTCGACTTCTTGTATCTCATCCTGCTAAGTTGGAGCCATGAGGCAATTAATGTAACATATTAAGCTAGTTTATGGAGTCTCGGTTGGGTAACTATGATGACAAAAACAGAGTACCTCTTCAGGCCTTCTAGAAGCAACATGGTTGAGCCTTTCCTGGTAAATATGTTCTGGGGCATTGTAAGCATCTTGTGAGTCATCCTTAACTTTGTTCTCCCTGACATCTAAATAACAAGTGCCATTTGAACTGTCTATCTGTCAAATAATACACACTCAAATTAGAAAACACAGATTTTTAGCAATCAGTTTTTTCTTTCGACTGATTTATGTCAACCATTAATAGCTAGTACAATCTGGCACCCAAAATTGGATTCTTACAAGGGCAGCTGCATTTTTCAAGTCCTCTAGATTGAAGTTCCAGCCACTGATGCCTCTTATGTACTCTTTCTGAAAGGCAAATAACTGCTTCTGTCAGTGACAGCAAACACAACACGTGCATGCATAGTTCAAATTTCAACAGAGAAAACTGTCACAAAAACTGTCAGTGACAGCAAAGACAACATGTGAATGCATAGTTCAATTTTCAACCGTGAAATGTTCATTTAGTTTGTAATTGAAAAGATACTGAAATCTGATAGACATAAGAAGATCGTTGCTAACATCACAGTTCCAAGCACCAATGTTTTTAAGGCGTCGCTTTGGCGTCGCCTAATCGGCAAGGCGCTACAGGCGGGACGCCTTGGCGGACGACTCGCCTCAGATTGGTATGGCGTCCGCCTTACTGCCATGGCGTCCGGAAGTCGTCGATTTGGCGTCCGATTCATCGAAATCGAGCAAGACGGGCGCCATACGGGGATGGCCACGGTAGGAAAACGCCGGCGCGGGAGAAAGGACGGGGAAAGCATCGCGCGCGCGGGAGATTAGGCGCGCGGGAGAGAGAGAGGCCTTCGAGAAATCGAGAGAGAGGAGCGCTCAGGAGAAGAACACCTTTCGCCCGCCTGAACGCGTTCTCGCCCGCCCGCCGGTAGCTGCGCTGCCGCCGAGGCTCCGCCTCCCCCTCCCCAGTTCCCCATCCGCGCGAGGAGCAGCCGCCGGAGGGCTGCTGTTTCCCCGTCGCCTCTTCTGGTCCTCCATTGAGCAGGGCACCTGGTGCGCGCCGGGCGTCGTGAGGATCCGGCGGAGCGCCGCGGCCGGGGACTCCCAGCGGATGCATGGGAGACTCCTCCACGGCGGTAGGGGTAGCGCAGCCATCCCGGCTGTGGTGGCGGAGGAAGCGGAAGCCTTGGCGCAGCGAGCGGCGAGGCCGGAGAGGAATGGGATCGGAAAGGGGAGTGTGTGGTGTCTTTGTGGTGGTGTGAGTGTGGTGACTTGGCGTCTCATCGCACTTGAGGGCTGCTGCGTCAACTCGGAAGTCGGGCGGGGGTGGGTCACGCCTATTCCGTGAGATTGTGACTCGCAAAGTTGTTTGGCTTTTTCGGTTGGACAACACCAAGGTATGACATGCTTCCAGTTCTCTGGTCTATACCACTGTTGGATGGCCGTAAGGCGTCGCCTCGCCTTACGCCTTACTCGCTTTAGCGTAAGGCGGTAGTTGGTCGCCTCGCCTCGCTTTACCGCCTTAAAAACATTGCCAAGCACCAAACAATTTTACAAAATATTTCTCTTGCAGCTCTAAAAACTCAGATGAGATCATCTTCCAAAATTTCACATAAACATTGTTTAAACTGATTGCCACATTTTAAAATGGAAAATTTGTTTAATTTCCTTCAATTCAAAATAACTAGGAGACGCGCTATAGGAAACAAAAAATGTTTCTATCAAGTAGGCAATCCTCAGATAAACAATAGATCCCATCCTACTATTTTAACTCAAACCTAAGATCATGGGAGCTTCCAGCCGAGGGGACAAAACACTAATTTCTAGTAGTTGTGAAGATGTACGATATCACAGAACAAAAGAGCAAACTCTAACCTGTGATAGCTGCTCCTTGCTCTCTTGACCAAGCTTGTTATTGAGAAGCAACTCAGCCTCTTTACTCTACAAAGGAAGTAAAACAAAGGTCAGATTGGTTACAGCAATGTCATGACACCTGATAAACATTTATTTGCACCTTCAGTTCCCTAAAGCGTTCACCCAACGGAGGGAGGCCATCAAGAATACTCCGTGCCAGATATTCAGCTGAGCGAGCATGCTTAAAGAAAGAATGCTTCAGAAGCTTTTCAGAAGGAGGACGCTTGCGTGGATCCTTGACTAAACATGTAGCAACCAAATCCTTGAAAGACTACAAATAAAAGAGGTGCATTCATATAGAATCTACACATTACACAAAAGAAAATTCAATAATAGAACACACCTTTGAAAACCGCTTGTCCCTCTCATAATCTAGACCTGGTGGTGCATTTTGCAAGGTCATAAGCAACACCTACATAGAGGAAAGGTATCAATATCATTCTGAAGTTTGGGAGAAAAAATAATGCAAAATAAATGTACTTTGTGCTGACCTTCATTGGAGGGTACTTTGAAAATGGAGCATGACCATGTGCTAGTTCTAATGCCGTTATTCCAAAGGACCAAATGTCAGCTCTGTTTATAAATCATAAAAAAATAAGAGAAAAGGGAAACATATATACAGACTAGAAAGCAAGAACATTATCCACATTTACAGGCTCTAGCCATGTACTTACTTGTAATCATAACCATGCAGTTGTTGCATGACTTCAGGAGCCATCCTGAAGATGCAAGGCATAATGTAACATCAATAGAAGGTTCATTCAAGCAAAGAATGAAAATAACATTACACGCTAAAAATAATGATATGCAAATTAATAGGTATAAAATATTCACCAGCAAGGCGTCCCTACAAATGTATTTCTTGCTCTTTGCCTATTTCCAGTATCGAACATACATGCTGACACTCCAAAGTCTGCTAGCTTAACAGCTCCATTTGTATCTATTAAGATGTTTCCAGCCTGAAATTGATTAGTAATGTCGAAAATAATTTAGAACATGCACCCAATGATGATCAAAGACAGATAACTGAAACACATAGCATGATCTAGCCACGTCAGAATACCCAGCCGTGGTATTTTAGTTAGCACAAACAGTTAAGACATGAGATGACTAGTATCCTAAGTCTTCGTTTTTCCCCTTAGTGTTTTTCATTGAGCACTGTTCCCTTAGTGTTTTCTTGCATTAAAATTATGCGATATGCCACTAAGTTTCTGTTTAGAGAATAGCTTTGTACCCTGCCATGGGTTCAAGTGTTTGAATCAGTATAAGCGTTTGAATCTGACATGGGTGTTCATCCTGTTGGCGTCCAGATCAGCATACCAGGGAGAAGGGATTCTTAGGCTCATCAGTAATAGATTATTCTCAAAATATTTTAAAGTATCAAGTACTACCTACTGTTACAGTATATTTGGTAGGATTGTAATCCAGTATTGCTGTATGTATCCAGAGAGTTGTGTTGCCAAAGTCTCTACTCTATATATACCACCCGAGAGGCTCAATGCAATATATCCCACGCATTATAGCCAATCTACTATGCTTTCCTGGTATAACAAGTTTAGGTTTTGATCCTGAGCCAAGGCTTCAGTTGCAGTCACCACGCCACCCCAGGGTAGTTCAATCTTCGCCAGGGGCAGCACCTTGGTAGAAGGTTTTTGACCGTGGATCTAACTGAGCCGCCACCCTAGCGCCGAGCAGCAATAGATTATCAGAAGAATGCTTACCATGGGCATTGTCAATGGGCAGCCATACAGCTCTTCGTCGTCGGTCCTCTGCCCCCCACCCCCACCCCACCAACTCCTAACCATTCGCCATCATCAGGAACCATCATCCCCTCCCTATCTGCGCTCAATGTGACTCCACTCCCTCCCCCAACGCTGCTGCTACCGCTGCCCTTGAGCGCAAGCACATGGCTGAGGATAAGACCGTTGGGTACATCAAGCCAGTGCACCGTGGTGGCCGGCCATCGCGCCAGCACAAGTGGACATCAGGCCATCGCAGCTGGGCCCGTGGCCACCATCTGGATCAACTGTAACATGCAAGATCTTTTCGATAAGCTATGTTTTTCTTTTCCCCGGTCAGAGATTGTGATTGTGTCACCCTGTCTACCAATCCCTCAACATTCGTTCGTCGACTCTCCCAAGGACGAGGTTTTCGTTGTGTGCCATCCTAGGCAGCGCGTGGCCAAAGCCATCTTTGTGGTCGCCATCTCTCTAGGCTGGCGCTAGCCCTCGTCATGCTAGCTCTTGATCCTAGTCTGTGCCTACTGCCACCACCTCTGGGACATCGCCGCCAATTTCGCTAAAAGATGACATGTGATCATTTGTTGACATGTCTGAGCAGCCCTGTCTACCTTCGCCATTCGGTTGGCTCATTGTCCTGTTGCGGTTCGTCAGCGGGAAGCTAGTAATTATGTGTACTCTGTGTGTCAGTTGTTGCTTTGGCTATGTCCCCATCATGGCTTCGACCACGCCCACCTCGACCTCGGCTACTTTGGAAAGGTTATCATCGGCATGAGCTACTTGTCAGTTTCTACTCTCTTTTTTACCCGAAAAAATAAACAGCAGGGGGAGCCCCACTGTTAGGATTTTATTAAATCAAAAGGAACCAACTGTACAGCAGAAACAGAACAAAAAACAGCAACAAAGAAGGAAATAGGTAGCCTGAGGCAAGCTGGGCCAAACTATGCACACAGCTCTATCCAAGAAAGGAAGGGAGCACGCTTGTTTTCAGATATCCTGTGAGCTTGTAGGCGAGCTTCATCAACGAAACCTGTTCTCCAAGCAAGGAAGGATGGTTGGCCTCTACTAAAAATGAAGTTGTTCCTTTGCTTCCAAATTTGTCAAGCACTGATGACAAATACTTCCATGAAAAAGGGTGTGAGAACCCCTGCTTCGCTTGCAACAGCATATGGAAGAAATAAACCGCAAGGTTCCACTGAACACCGAGGTGCTGTCAACAAACCTGACTAAAAGGGCATGTGAAGAAAAGATGAAGAGCTGTTTCTTCGACATTCTGATTGCACAAGACACAATTGTAGTTCTTTCCTTCAAGCTTGTGCTTCTTCCTCTTGAGAATATTTCTGGTATTGAGTCCGTCCATCAACAATATCCAGGTGAACACCCTAAGCTTGTTGTAACATTTGGACTACCAAATCCATAGGAATGGAGCAGCATCTATGTTGCGACGTTATTACGACTGCGTGGGGATGTTAGTCCTCCACTTCTCTAGTCTAATCAACTACGATGGTACTGCTACAACTGCGGGGGATGTTAAGAGTATATTTGGTAGTTAGTGTTGTAACATGGTATTGCCTTATGTATGGAGAGAGAAGTCTTGCCCCCCAAGTCTCTATATATATCGCCCGAGAGGCTGAATGCAATATATCACACGCATTATACCAAATCTAATACGCTTTCACCTCCAATCGACAAAACGCAAGGTGCACTAAAACATCTTTAACCAATGATGTCTATTAATATATATGTTTGCAATTAAAATAAAATTATAATATTACTAAAGTGTTGTTAAATGAATCTATGAGTGCCTAATTAATTTACAACACTAGATGTATCAGAAGATACTGTGGACATGGATTAGCTTAAAATTTGTTGACTGCACTCTCTCCGAAACAGTAAAATGTCACTTTATGTGACTCGAGAGGAATACAGTATAGATACAACCACTCAATAAAGGAACCAAAAAAAATCTCAAGCATCATGCCTCTATGTCATGGGTCTAAATGGGCCATGTAGGGCCCACTGCAGCCTAGCACAAGCTTGCATAAACAGTATCCGCTGGTACTGTAGCTACCATACTGTAGCGCCGCTGGAAGCCCATTTAGGTCTGTGTTTAGGAAAAAAACTCGGACTTCGGGGGAATAGCATACGCCCCCGAGCATTTCGCATTAAGTAGAGGACTCCTCACCCAGTCCGAGAAACCACCGAACCTCATACCCCACCCGCACACAAGGCCCATTACCCTTTGAGTGGGCCGATGCCATAAACCTGTGCTTTGAGTAACGCGGAGCAGACGAGGGGGTTTTTTTTACCTCTAGCACTGCAATTCGCCCCCGTGGGGGATCGAACCCAGGCCGCGAGGGTGCCACCCGGAGTAATTGACCAGCCGGTCTAGCATCCCTTGGCGATCTGGGTTTAGGAAGAATCCAAAAAATTTGATTGCTTCTAAGGCAAGTCAAGTCAGGTTGGGTCCTCCCTATAAATATAAGGGGGAATGTAACTATTAAGTAATCTAGGGGTAAAACCCTAAAGCTCTCTAGCCTCCCCACACCGCCAGCGGGCATGCCTCCTTCCCTGTGCCCAGACATCTGCAGCTGGCTGCTGCTGCCAACCCCTTCCTCTCTCTAAGGTGTGGCTAGCCCTAGCCCCTAAGGCTACAATATGAAATCCTCAAACACTACAGCAATGAAATGCACCATACAAGCACCATCTACCACGAGATGTATAAGCCATTGGTTTTTTTTTTCTCGAACACGCAGGAGAGCTGCGTATCATCATATTATGAAGGGCATGACCAATACAACAGAAGAAAACACAAAAACTAAATAAAACCAAGGATGACCAATGACTTGAAACCCTTACAATGATGCATGACCAATGAGTATTGGCCTCATCTCTAATATCCCGCATGATGGAACTAAATTGGGCTGAATCCCTCAAAGACAACAATTTCTATGCTTCCAAATCTACCGTGCCACCAGGACGACCAATGAGTTGAAACCCTTACGATGATGCTTAGGAACATGCATGGTTCCCAAACCCCTCAACTAAGCATCTCCAAAGAGCAGAACTCGTATCTCTCCCTCCTTCCTTCCTCCACTAAAAGTCCCAGGAGGTTTTTATTGGCTTCCTCACTACATCCATGCAAAGCCATTCCACGGCAGTATGATAGCTATACTTGTGGCAGAGCCTCTATCGTGCATCACACCACATTGGAGAAAAAATATATCATGGGTGTGGATGCTGATAAGGGAAGTTTGTGTATGCAAGTTTTAGAAACACTGGAGAGAACATAATCAAGAGGATCATGCCACAATAAAACTTGCCCTACTGACTAAATAAATGTCCCTTGCATCGGCTAATGGAAATGGTGCCAACTCTGAACTTTCAGATGATTTTCTCATAAATTTTAAGCGACTGTCTCCCAACCGCACCCCCCCCCCCTGCAAAGAAAATAGAAGACAACTTTACCCTTCCCACTTTGTTTTGCATGAATCGTTACCACCACTCCTGGCAAGGTGGTGCCTGTAGACCCAGGTAGAGAGATAGGAACAAGTACAGCCAACCGGCCATTGGCAACCAGTCATATTTAATTTTGCAAAAAGCTAAGTGACAGATCAACATACAAAGTGTAGGGATGGAATCGTAACTCCTAAATCCTTCCACCCTCTAAGTTTCTTTCTTTTTCTTTTGGGGTGAGGGAGTGATCCCTTGGCAACAACTGTTGGAGCTGTAGAAGAATAGAATTGGTAAAAATATTGGTTGTATTGCATTGGGCCTCATGGACTGATTATATAGAGTACATAGGACTAACACCCCACGTGGGTAGACAATGTGGTACTATTCCTATTTACTCTAACATCCCCCCACAGTCACAGTGGGAGCGTGGCAGACGGTGAGACTGGAGAAGAAGCTGACAAGCTAACATCCCTGCAGTCATAAGAGTCGATGCGTCACATATGCTGTGGCTGGAGAAGAAGCCGATGAGTCCTCATGCACGTGATCACAGGGAGTAGGTGTGGGAAGGAGCAGGCCAGTGCTTCCACAACTGCCATAATGCATGGGCTGTCAAGCTTCAGGGGAAAGCGAGCGCAGAGCGCAACACGGGCAAAAGACGCAGGAGGCAACTCCTATGAGTTGTCCACTTGTCCTGCTTGATTTCCAACTGATTCCCTGATTAGCCTATATTACAATCTAATGGATACACAACCAACTCTCTAACTGAGTCCCTAATCTCAGCCCCTTCAGCCTTTGAGCCGGTTGGTTTTCTGGGGTCGTGGCCACGAGCGATGCCGTGCGGCCTCATGCTCCCCCTCTCTTCATCCTCCTACCATATGTCTTTCCGGTCATAACAACAGCCGTATTAGAACTGGTTGAAGCCAGCTCTATCATCATTATACTACCATCTCCAATCTTCCCACACATGCAACGATCTGCTCTATTATAAACACAAGACTCAAAATCTTTGCAGGCAAAATTAGAGCACTTGCAACAAGGATATGCAGTCACCTCTAGAAAGGACAATGGAATAAAAAAGAGGTTTTGATACAGTCCATCAGATCCAGCCCTCTAATTAATGGACTGGTGCATGCCTTGAACACAAGGGTAATGTCCTATTTGAAATACAAATAAATTCAAATCAAAATAAAAAAACCAAGTGATGTTTTACTAGTGGTGACTAGTACATGCCTTGAACACAAAGGGTAATGTCCTATTTGAAATACAAATAAATTCAAATCAAAATAAAAAAACTAAATGATGTTTTACTAGTGGCGTAGAACATTAAAGGAGTTTCTCAAGTGGCATCTCTTTAAAGCAGAAGACACTGATGGTATGTAGCTAAATTTCGGAAAAGTTTATCCAAATTCTGAATGTAATGCTTCTGCTCTAATACATAACTGGAGATTTGAAGATACATATATATGTATTACCTTGACATCTCTGTGAATATGTCCTTGAGAATGTAGGTAGACAAGCGCTTTCAGAACTTCCCGCAAAAGAGTAGCAATGACTGGCTCATCAAACCCTTCTGGAAAAGAAGTTTTCATAATGTGAAGAGCAGATCCAGCAGCCATGTAAGGCATGACAACCCAAAGCTGGTGCCCATTTGTAAATGAGCAATATGCACGAAGAAGATTTGGGTGATCAATCAAACTCATAGTTTGCACTTCCCGTCTTATCCCATCCTAAAGATTGGTAATTCCAAAAGGATCAGAAACATAAATCCCAAAATATGAAAACAGCTCAACATTAGTTTGATATTATCAAGCTCACAGAGAAAATAAGAAGTAACTGTCTTCGTCAGAGGATAAAAGATGAATATAGCTTACAAGTTATGGTACACAAAAACACACATGCACAAAGGAACATATCTGAACCTACAGCACAAAACGAGACAGTATGTATTGCATTTCCATTAATATTACAAAGAGTCATGGTGTTGCCAGGAATGATGTTTAAATTTCGTGTGGCAGTTTTGATCAGCAAAAGACTAACAAATGTTTGCAAGGTGCCATTTGTACTTTGCATGCAAGAATAATCTGATCCTGACAACTACCGCACAAATCAATAAAAAGTCTTTGACCATGTTATCTTACTAACGCTGAACACATGTAAAATTGGAGAATAGCTTTCAAAGTGAGGATCCCATGTCAAGGGCGTCGAGGGATAGGGTAGGCGCACCCCGGCTACGTAGTTCGTAGCCGCGATCCGTGTTGGGGCGAGGTTTTACCCCTCAGCGCCCGTTTTGTTGAGAGAGGGAGAAGGAGAGATAATTGTTCTTGCTTAATCCCAAATGACGGATTACAAGGACTCTTATAGGCCATAGCCTCAACAGACTCTAACAAATCACTCCTAAATCAGAGGCCCCTTGATTGGTTCTCCTTTAATCTAGCCACTTTCTAAACCGAGCCTGCTGGCTGGTGCTCTGCCATGATGACATGGCATGTCGCTGTCATCATCTGGCCTTCTTTTTGCCAAGCATCTCTCGGGCCTTCTATTCCTGGCGTATGTGCGGCCCCACATGACATCTCTCCCCCCGTCGAGGAGCAGCTCGTCCTCGAGCTGGAAGGCCGGGTACTTGGCGGTGAAGGCCTCGACGTCTTCCCATGTAGCCGATGCAGCCGACTCGCCCTTCCACTGGACAAGGACCTGGCGCACACCGCGCGCCAATCGTGCCCGCACGGCCCACTCCGGCTCGGGAACCGACGCACCATGGTGGATGGGGGCGGTGGTGGTGGTGCATCCGGTGGCGGCCCGCGGAACTTCTTGAGGAGACCGATGTGGAACACATCGTGCAGCCGAGCGCAAGGCGGAAGCGCCAGGCGGACAGCGACGTCGTTGATGAGTTCGACGACGCGGTAGGGGCCGAAGTAGCGCGGCTTGAGCTTGCCGATGACGGCCTGGGGAATGGACGAAGCTGCCCGCTGACGAAGACGAAGGAGGGCCCAATCGCCCACCTGATACGCGACATGACGGTGGAGCTTGTCGTAGTGCTTCTTCTGGACCGCCTGCACCTGCTCCAGGCGATAGCGGATGTCCACCAGGAACTCGTCACGCTCCTCCATGTTCCTGGCGACGACGGCCACCCGTGTGTCCCCCGTCTCATAAGACCGGATGGTCGGAGGATCGCGCCCGTAGACGACGCGGAACGGCGTGTCCCGCAGCGAGGACTGGTAGGCGGTGTTGTAGACGTACTCCGCCCATGGCAACTAGCGCAGCCACTGTCGAGGTCGATCGCCGGTGAGGCAGCGCAGGTACATGACGATGACGCGGTTGGCAGCTTCTGACTGGCCGTTGGACTGAGGGTGGAACACCGAGGTCATGTGGAGCTTGGCGCCCATCAGACGCATGAGCTCTCGCCAGAACGTCGAGGTGAAGACCGGATCGTGGTCGGACACCATGGACTGGGGAACGCCGTGAAGCCGCACTATGTCGGTGAAGAAGGCTTGCGCGACGGACTCGGCGGAGTACGGGTGCGCTAGGGGAATGAAGTGGCAGTACTTGTTGAACCTGTCCACCACCGTCAAGATGACGGACTTGCCACGGACGCGCGGCAATGCCTCCACGAAGTCGAGCGCGATGTCCGTCCAGACACCCTGGGGTACGGGCAGGGGAAGTAGAAGTCCTGCCGGGTGGAGGTGCTCCGATTTGTACCTCTGACATGTCACGCACGAGCGCACAAGGTCCTGCACCAGCTGTCGCATGTTAGGAAAATGAAAGTCGCGTCGGAGGCGATGTAGTGTGCGCTGGACCCCTTCATGCCCATCCTCGTGCACGGCCACCATGATCTCCTGGACGAGCGGGGACGCCAGGGGGATGTAGAGGCGGCCGCCGAACTAGACCATGCCGTCGACGAGCGTCCATGGTGCGCCGCGGGAGCCTGCACGGAGCTCGTCCCGTATGGCGACGAGGGCAGGGTCGGTGTCCTGCGCTTGACGGAGGCGCGTGACGAAGTCGAAACGCGGGGCGGAGATGGCGAAAATGACCCCCTCGTCCGTGTCGCGGCGAGACAAGGCGTCCGCCACCACGTTCGCCGCGCTCGGCTTGTACTGGATGGAGAAGTCGAAGCCCAACAGTTTCCCCAGCCAATGGTGCTAGGGAATCGCGGCGAGACGCTGATCCAACAGGTACTTGAGGTCAGTAATGATCCGTCTTGACGAGGAATCGGCGGCCCCAGTAGGTACGGTTCTGCGTATAGCGTGGGGGACGAGGCCGATGAGCTCCCGCTCATAAGCGGCGAGGAAGCGATGGCGTGGCGCGACGGGCGGTGAAGAACGCAATCGGTGCGCGTCTGGATGAGCACTTCGCGCCGAAACCTCGTCGGAGAAGCGTCGCACTCCACGACGAAGTCCTTGGCGAAGTCCGGCATCGCCAGGATCGGGCCCGAGGTGACCGCCGCCTTGAGCGCGTCAAAGGCCGCGGCTGCTGCGTCGGTCCAGGAGAACCCTTCCTTCTTGAGGAGGGCGGTCAGCGGCACGGCGACGGAGCCGAAGTTGTGGACGAATATGCGGTAGAACCCGGCCAAGCCGAGGAAACCGCGCACCGCCCGCGCCGAACGTGGCACCGGCCAGTCATGGATGGCATGCACCTTGGCCGGATCCATGGCGACGCCCGCCTCGGAGATGACATGACCGAGGTACGAAACGGAGGCGACGCCAAAGGCGCACTTCGCCCGCTTGACGAAGAGATGGTGCTGGCGCAGCATGGAGAGGACGGCGCGGAGGTAGCGAAGGTGGTCGGCCATATCTTGCTGTATATCAAAATGTCGTCAAAGAAGACAAGGACAAACCGGCAGAGGAAGGGTCGCAAGACGTCGTTCATGAGCGCCTGGAATGTCGCTGGGGCGTTGCACAGCCCAAACGGCATCACCAAGAACTCGTAGAGGCCCTCGTGTGTGCGGAACGCCGTCTTGTGGACATCACCCGGCCGCATGCGAACTTGGTGGTACCCGGAGCGAAGGTCCAGCTTGGAGAAGAATCGGGCGCCGTGGAGTTCGTCGAGCAGTTCGTCCACTACGGGAATGGGGAACGCGTCCTTGACGGTGAGGGCGTTCAGGGCGCGGTAGTCGACGCAGAAGCGCCAGGATCCCTCCGCCTTCCTGACGAGGACCGACGAAGAAAACGTCGACGCGCTGCTGCGGATGATGCCCTGCTCCAACATGGCGGCGCATTGCCGCTTCAACTCGTCCTTGTGGGACGCATGGTACCGGTACGGCCGAACCTCCACCGGCTGCGCGCCCGGCTTGAGGACGATGCTGTGGTCGCGGGCGCGCGGAGGCGGGAGCCCCTGGGGCTCAGCGAAGACGTCCCCGAAGGATGCTAGCAGTTCGTCCAGGAGGGACTCGCTGGCTATCGTGGTGCGGACGCCGGGCGCGCTGGTCGTCGCCACGCCCGTCCAGCACACGGCGCGCCCCTAACGCTGGAAGGACATCTTCCGCGCACTGAAGTCCTAGAGCACCGGCCCCAAGGTCGCCAGCCACTGCGTGATGAGGACCAGGTCGTACCCGGCGAGTGGCATCACGAAGAGATCGACGCGGAACGTGTCGTTGTCGATGGTGAGCGGTGCCTGCCGAATGACGCCAGGCAAGGAGACGCGCTCGCCATTCGCCACTGTCGCCGTGAGGCGTGGGCGACGCTGCAGAGGCAGCCCGGTACGGAGGGCCGCGTCCTCGGCGATGAAGTTGTGCGTGGATCCCGAGTCGAGGAGCGCGGTGAAGACGGCGGCGCCACGGCCACCTGGATCTGCATGGTGTCGCTGAAGGACACCCAAGCGATCGCGTTGAGGGAGAAGTGCGGGGTCTCCTCCCCGGCGGCGTCCTCATCAGCAGCAGCCCCGTCGTCGGTGTCGTCCTCGATGACGCTTGCCGAGGAGGAAACAACCGCTTGTGAACCCGGATTGTGCCGCGATCAAACTTTTCATCGCAGCTTGTAGCAGAGACCGAGGCGACGATGCTCCTCCCCGTTCCACTGAGTCGGTAAACGAACCGTACCGCCCTCCACGGTGATCGTGGCCGTGCCGCGCCTTGTCCGCCTTTGTCCGCCGGCGAAGGCGAAGTCGCGGCTTGGCGCCAAGCAGAGCGCCAATCGCTGGGAGGCGCGTCGCATGCGCGCGCGCGACGTAGCTGTTCCGCAAGTCGATCTTGCGGGCGAGGCTCATGGCCGCCACCAGCGACTGGGGATTGTGGATCTCCACATCATGGCTGAGCGGTGGAAGGAGGCCGGCGGTGAACAGCTGGACGCGTTGTGCCTCATCCAGGCGGCCCGCGCGAGGTAGCAGGGCCTGGAACCGATCCTGGTACTCCCCACGGTACCGGTTCGGTGGCAAGCCGCCAACTCGCCAAGGGGGTTGGATCAAATGGGAGGCCCAAAGCGCAGTGGAGAAGCTCCTTGAAATGGCGCCAGGAAGGAGTACCCTCGTCCTGCTGGACTTGGTAGTACCACAGCTGGGCGCCGTCCTCGAGGTTGAACGACGCCATCCAGACTTTCTCCTCCTCCATGATTCGCTGTTGATGAAAATAAGATTCACAGCGATTGATAAAGATCAAGGGATCCGACTTGCCATCGTAGCGCGGGAAGTCGAGCTTTTGGAAACGCGGCAACCAATCTTGGTGGTGCTCCCCTGACCCGGAGTGTGCGGAGGTTGACGATCCGCCCGGCTGCGCGCGCGGCGCGCGCGTCCCAGTGCTTGGATGGCTCGGGCGTTAGGCCTCCACGACGTCTGGAGGGGTCTGATGGGACGCGACCGAGGAGTCAAGGTCGCGCTTACAAAGCGGCGTTAGCGGCGTTGTTGACGATGTTGTCGCCCATAAGCGTCTACGCGAGGCGAGTGTGGCGTGCGGCGGTGAGGGGAGTGCGCGCTACCGGGGTTGGCGAAGGGCATGGATGAACTGGATCGCCTGAGACCGTGATACCAAAGTTGTCAAGGGCATCGAGGATAGGGTAAAGGCGCACCCGCCACGTGGTTCGTGGCCATGATCCGTGTTAGGGCGAGGTTTTACCCTCGGCGCCCGTTTTGTTGAGAGGGAGGAGAGATAATTGTTCTTGCTTAATCCCAAATGACGGATTACAAGGACTCTTATAGGCCATAGCCTCAACAGACTCTAACAAATCACTCCTAAATCAGAGGCCCCTTGATTGGCTCTCCTTTAATCTAGCCACTTTCTAAACCGAGCCTATCATTTGGTGTGCTCGCCATGATGATCATGGCATGGCAATGGCATGGCTACAAGCCATTCTTGCCGCCACAAGCATCTCGGCCCTTCTATTCCTAAGCGTATAAAGCGGCCCACATGACATCCCACATTTCGGACACATAATGTTATTATCAAACCCATGTATGTTTATGTAGTATCACCAAAAATTTGCCTTAAAATTATTAAGGTAGAAACAATTGTACAGCCTTCGATGTCAACTCTCAACAGCGCACTTCAAGAAATATGAATATGCTTCCAGCGCCTTCTGGTATATACAAGGTATAAGATGCATGTAGTGAAATGCATGGACAAGCTCTAATACTCCATTACTAAGAAAATGTTCTTTTAGCTTTCCTAACACAACAGGATGACAATCAATTCTTCCACCCATGACATATCTACTCCTCTTATCGCTCCCACCTTCAATTAATAACACTCAATCCACCACACTCATTCATGCAAACTCCAATTTGCAATAGCTGGGATTTTTAGCAAACACCAGCTTAAAAACCTTAAAGAACGTCTCTTTGATATCAAAACCAAGTATCTTATACAAAGCTTATAGTCTATTTGAAAATTGTAATGTGTCTTATAACCTACTGCGAATTCTAGAATCTCTGTACAAACAACTAACATCCAAAAGACCAAGGTCTAAGCCTACCCACATGATAAAACAAACCATCAATGCTCAGCATGAACGAAAAAGAAACTTACGGTGGCATAATTGCCCTTGTGGCTAATCTACTTCTCAATCTATGCTAGAGAAACAAGAATTGACACTTATTTCTCCAAAAAATAAATATTTTGCATTGAAATGTTAATAAGCATAACTGAATCAAATGAAATTTGCCATAGAACATAACTTACCAGGTCATTGTTACATTTCTCAAGGTCAAGCACTTTGATGGCAACCAAAATGTCAACTGGGACACAAAGAGCTCGGTATACTGTGGCACTAACGCCTTCTCCAATTTCCTCATATAACTTATACTCATTGGGATCAGTTGGGAACCTTCTACTGATCAGTGCATGCTCCATGTTCCAAATTTTAGAGAACACCACAGGTAACATCAGCGCTCTTCAAATTTCCATAACATAGAAACATGGCAGTAAATGGCAAGATCACCATATAGGTGTGCCTGAGAATAGCATCCAGCATTGTGAAGTTTGATAGGTAAATGCTTGGACCCATGTAGGAGCATTTATTTCATTGGGTTAATCTCATGCATCCTTTGCTTCAGTGGCTTATATTGACAAACTCAAGAATGAAGTAGGCACCAGAGAGCTACCCAATCTTGCTTCACCTAGAGTGATGTGGCAGAATATTATAAGCTGCAAAGCAGGGAATAGGAAAGCATCAACATTGTGGAGCACCTAGCCACCTAGTATAGAGAAAAGTCATAGCTGCATTAAAAGGCACACACATCATAAACAGCATAGCGCCATATATCCAGATTCAACTCTTTTGTGCTAAAATGCTCTAAAAGAGATAAGCAACTGTACAAATAGATAATGTAGCCTAGATCTCGTTTTGAAGCAAGACTCCTAACAAGGCATCAAATACGCCCCACAGTTCTCAAAAGAAAAGAAAAGAAAATCCAAAGCATATATGTGCTGATCTTCCAATACTCGGCTATAGTGCCTAGTTACAACCTAAAGAAAATTTTAAGTAAAAATCCCCCAATATCAGCAACCACATTAATCAATATCCTAGCTTAGTAGCTAGTATCTCCAAACGTGCAGGTTAGTGAAGTGCAAAGCTCAATAAATGAAGCTTGGGTCCGTGTACTAGTAATGCCTAGCAGGTGCCACGCACACAACTTAGTTAAGCTCTAAACTCGGTTTATACTTGCGCAAAGAAGCAATCCATACGTCTCGCGGCAGCAAGCAATCACTTGCTGAACCAGCGATTGCGTCGACGGTCGATCCCATTTCACGGTACCTAAGCCTAAGATCGCGGTACCCGAGAGCTTCACCACTGCGCTACGAGCCTACGACACCACAGCACGCGATCCCCAGGCGAACAGCGTTACCTGGACACGGTGCGGAGGGGCGCTCCGGGCAGCGGATCGCCACCAGCAAGTAGTGGCGGCACCGGCGCGGCGTTGGCAGATCGCCGCCGCGGAGGGGAGGAGCACCTGCGGATCTGGGTGCGGGCAACGAGGCGGGAACAGTGAGCCGTTCGGATCTCGGAGGAGGAGGAAGCTGCCGTGGGCCAGTAGCGGCGAGGAAGCTAGGGTTGAGGAACGCCGGCGATTGCGAAGCGGAGACGGGACAAGGAAGACGAAGCGGAGCAGGAGCAGCGGCTGCAGCAGCGTAACGGGCTGGGGATGACAATTGACAAAAGCGAAGAAGAGGAGAAGGTGGAGTGGAGGTCTGTTGTCTTCCTTTTTGGGGCCCGCTGATTTTCTGTGGCCGCCGCGTGACAGGGCGTCGCTGCCTCGCTGCAATGCCTCAGGCTCGGACCGGGGCAATTACGGAGCTTCTCTACAAGCTATCTCCGGTTCGCAACGTAGCAATTTTACAGGCACAGGGATTTCTAATGAATCAGTTTAATTTAATAGAAAAAATATAGAAACGAAAAAAAAAATCTCGTATTCCAAACAGAACCTAAAGAAAAATAGTTTTCCTTTTTCCCTTGAGGTCCCAACGTCAATGCCATTTATAGATTCTCCACTATACAGACAGTACACTATATATATCATATATATATATATATATATATATATATATATATATATATATATATATATATATATATATATATATATATATATATATATATATATATATATATATATATATATATATATATATATGATATTGGGAGCTAAGGGCTTCCCATAGTTATTGAAAGCCCCAGCCCAAATATATGTTTTCCGGTTCCACCAAACCAGGTTCCCACCTAACCAGCCACAGCCAGCCCATCGGAGGTCCACCTTCCTCTCTCTCTCTCTCTCTCTCTCTATATATATATATATATATATATATATATATATATATATATATATATATATATATATATATCCTAAACCCTAATCCCCACCGATCCACCTGGCCGCCACCCCTAGCCACCCGTCGCCCCATGTATCGCAGCCCCTCGCTGTCCCCTGGACTGCCACGGACGCCCCCTAGAGCGCGCACCGCCGGATCTGGCAACGGGGAGCGCCAGCGCCTCGGCTCCCCTCTCCTAGTGACGAGCAGCCCATCCACCCACCTGACGAGATCTGTGGAGGTGGCAACCGAGCTCCCCATCACCCCTGGCAAAGAGCCATGGAGGCGGTGTGGCTCCCTCCCACCTCGGCAGGGCACGAGCACGCGGCGACGCGGGCCAAGGGCGCGCGGGCGTGTGGGAGCGAGGGTGTGCGGCTACAGCGAACGGCGACAACGGCGCACGGCGGACGGGGACAGTGATGTTGGGAGCGCGGTGGGGCAGCTACGAGCTCGACCGTGTGGACGGCGACGGGGCGCAACGAGGATGACTACGAGCTCGGCCGAACCATTCAGGTCTAGGGCGCCCCCTTCCCTCCACGGCTCATGGCGGGCCCTCCCCACCACGGCGCCAGATGCATGGCCCTCAGCGTCAGCCAGCTAGCCGCGCGGCCCCTGGAGTCGTGCGGCCAGATGCGAGGGCCACGAAGGGTCTTGGGTGGCGGTGGTGGCATGGCTGAGAGCGGCCACAGTGCCGCCGCACGGCTCTACTACAGAAGGTGCGAGGAGGCGTGAGGCGTCATAGCAGGAAGCTTGGCCCACGCGGCCATGTTGCAGAGTAGGCTCGATGTGGGGCAACTCGCCGGGCTTCCGACACACGTCGCCCAGCAGGCCCTCCTCCGACTCCGATGCTCGTTGCCTAGTAGGCCCTCCTCAGATCCCATCGGCAGCAGGCAGGAGGCCGAGCCCCTCAGATCCGGTCGACAGGCGGGAGCAACAGTTGCCAGCAAAGGTGAAGCTACAAGTGCTCATTGCCGTCAAGCTTCTCCAACTCGAGTGACTAGCAAGCTACTCCGACCAACGGGATGGAGATACTAGCAGGTATCCAGAAATTGATTTTGTATGCCCTGCTGGTGTTCGATGAATTCACTTGCCGTTGAAAGTTTGAATGAATGGCTCGATCCATGACTAAAGCCAAGGTGTTTGTTGAAATGCATAGCCCATCTGCTAGTTGCTAAGATTTGAGTGCAATACGTGGGATTCATAGCCAAGGTGCTAAGTTTTGGCCCGCTGCAGCAAGGCGTTGTGTCCAGGGCAAGAAGGCCATCGTCTTGCTGCAATCTTTCACTACATATCATTAGTTATTCATGCTTCTTTTTATACATTGTTGGAAAAAAATTCTATGCATTATTGGAGCATATTTCTATACATTATTATTGGCTGTAGGTGATGTGGCATCACTAATTGCTGAGGATCTTCTGGTGACCATGTACTTCTCCCCTTGGCGGCATCTACAGTGACCGCGACGGCCCCTGTCTTCCACCTGGCGGCGCCTCCTGCCACGACGTCCCTCCCCTCTCCCTCACCGATAGCGATGACGGCCCTTTTTCCTTGTGGATCCAACCTCGCCTCTCACCTTGGTCGCAACAAGATTTATGTGCATTTTATTTTTTTATTTCTATGCATCTTGAACCAACCGTGTAAGCAAGCACCCATTGGTTTTTGCATGAACAAGAATGGTTTCTATGCAGTCGAAAGGAAGTAGTTGCTTCTTAAGCCATAGTTGCTATGCCATGTTTTAATTCGATTTGGTCACAGCTTTGCAGGAACATGGGGTTACGACAAATGAAGAGCTACCAATGCAAGCATGGTTTTCTATGCAATATTGATGCATCCATTTAGAGACAAATTATTTCTGTGCTTGCATACGTAAGTTTTTATGCATAGCAATTATGATTTGGCAATTTGACTAAATAAAATATTTATTTATAATGGTCAATACAGGTTTCTAAAAATACTAGAAAAATAATCATTCTCGCAGTTTGTTTTCATGTACTTTGATTTTTTTTATTTCTATGCTTCTTGAGGCACCAGTGTAAGAAATCATCTAGAATTCTATACAATGATGGAACACATTTTATACATTGTTGGAACAAAATTTTATACATTGTTGGAGCATATTTATATTTAATGTTGGAACACATTTCTATACATTGTATTAATAATTATTCATGCATTCTTCGAAGACTTCTATACATCACTAGATGATATTTCTATACTTTGTTGTTATAGATTTCTATACAATTTTCAATAATGACTCTAGCAGTTTGTTTTCATGTACTTTTGATTGTATGATCTGTTGGTCACATCTAGCAAGCTATAATTTTTTCTAATTTTTTTAGCCATGATTTTTGCATTAATGTACCAAATATTATTTTTACCCGTAGGTTTCTGTGCCTGTTAAAAGATGATTCTATGTGTTTATTACCCCTGTAAGGTTTTTGATCCTGTTAAAACATTTTTCTATGCCTTTCTTTTGTCGTTGTAAGGTTTCTGCGCATGCTAAAATATGTTTATATTCCTATTTTGCTGTTGTAAGGTTTGTGCGCCTACTAAAATATGTTTCTATGCCTTTGTTGTGATGTAGGATGGCTGGAATGAATTTGGTGTGAGAGGTAAACAGTGCCTCGGACATAGGAAATGGCTTTGCGACGTCCATGACTTTGAAGGCTTGCTGCGGTAGCATAGTGTGATATTTATGTAGTTGATGGGTTGGGGCCGTTAAGATGTTTGTAATAATTGTCCCGCCAAGTGGGAAGGGTTTTGTGGGTTTCTATGCATTATTCATCTATTAATTAAACACCCCCTAGTGGGTTATTATGCATGAACACTTTTATATTTGACTCTAGCTGAATGGATTATTATGCATCAAACAATTGGTTTCTATGCATACAATAAAAATAGAGACGCAAACCAGCAACAAAAATAATTTGTCTTCATCCAACCACTATATTTTATACAACGTCGGTGCAACAAACTTTTCTGCACACCTTGACGAGGTCGTTGTAAGTTTTTTTACACCTGCTCAAACATGTTTATATGCCTTT